TTTTTTTTTTTTTACTTTGCTTTGGTTTGGCCGGCCGGCCCAAAATTTAAATATTTAACATTACTTGCATATTTTAATAATTGTAGGTTTGATTCTGCATTAATTTCTGCAGGTTTGATTCTGCATCATTATTTTCGAAATCCCCGCTTCGGATTTCTAATTCGGAAATACCTAACTTATTGAACGTATTCACATTGTAGAACTTCATAAGAGCAACAGATTTAGGTATACGTTTACCTATCTTTGGTATTTCGACGAAAACTATTTTGAAAACGAATCATGACGAAAACGAAAGCGATGCAAATTTGCACTACATCACTATTTTCGGTTCTTGACCGAAGGCATAAAAATGACGACTTCGGGCCCCATAGGTGGGCCGCCACTATAATAAACCAGGCTAGCTCTCTATGTTATTTTTATAACATTTTAATTAATATAAAAAATACAAACACAACACTAACAAATATCAAACAACATTTTCGTACTACATATACACATCTACTTGTAAACAAAACGTTCTACAGAAAAATCCGAGAGGATCATGGGTGAAGTTTTCCCTAGCTCCCTCTTTCGGGCAAAACCAGGCATTACAAAACTATTTAAATTCTTTCGTGAAATAGTATGAAATAGTATTAGAAAATCTGATTGATAAATTTGTCGATGATTGAAAAACGGTTCTCTCAGTAAGGGCAACAACTGCTATGAATGCAACAATGTAGAATTTTCATGTTACTTTAAACAGAAAATAATGTATTAAAACATATTATGTATTTATTTATTTAATTAATTATCTATTTATATACTTATCTTTTTATCTATTTATCTATCAATTTAATTTGTCTATTTAAATTATTTATTTATTTAATTTAATTATTTATTTAACCTATTTATTTATTTAATTAATTTATTTATTTATTTATTTATTTAATTAATTAATTAATTAATTTATTTATTTAATTGATTTAATTTTTTTGTTAATTTGTTTATTTAATTTATTTATTTCATGAATTTACATATTTCATTTATTTATTAATTTAATTAAATAATTAATTAATTAATATAATTGTAATCAATGAAATGAAATGAACTTTGTGGGTGGAGATCATGCGTCCCCGGATGGGACTCCCAGTAGAAAAAAAAAACAAAATTAACTTTTGGGCTGCAATAAATGCAGCATTAAGATAGTAAAAAACTAAAGAAATTGCTAGTAGAAAAGCAGCATTATAATAACAAAATTTTAAAGAAAATACATGGTAGAAAAAATCGTGCTGTAACACCAAAATTTGAAAACAACTGGTGGTAGAAAACTAAGGCTAGAATAGCAGATTTTTTAAGCAACTAATGGTAGAATTCTCATTTTGTAATAGCAAAAAATAAAGCAACTGATGCTACAAGTGTAATGCTAGAAAATGCAACAAAAAAGCATATGTTATTTGTGAATTATTGCTATTGAAGCCGAAAAGCGAAGTGGTGGTTACTGCTTGATTACTGCTTGGCGAGCAAGATATTTAAACAACACAAGCTGGTTTATGTATGCTGGACAAACAGTAAAGTATGCCACGTATTTTTAAACACTCAAATTAGAAAAGAAATTGTATTTTTCTCGTCTTCTAACTTTACTTTTTTTAAACATCTGTATTTTTTGTGTTTCGGTGATAGCTTGTGTTGAAAAAATTAACATCTAAAACAAAGTAAAATTTATTAAATCTATATAAATTTTACAATGTGTTAGTGATAGTTAAAGACTAAAAAAAAATTAAGAATTCCATACAGAATCCTTAAACGCTCCAACACCCAGATGTAAAAAAAATGCAATAGTAATTATGTCAACAATTCAAAATGGTTAAACGAGTCACTATATTTTAAATTTTAATGTAGTAAGGTGTGTTTCTATGGTCTATCTAGCTAAGCATTTCTGCTGAAAAATTTTTAAGAAGAAATTACTTTCCGAATGCTTTAATGTGGGGTTACTTTTATGATAACAAAACTCAATTTTAAAATTCAGTTTATCTTTTAGAAATATGAAAGATTTTATTTAATCGAGAAAGTTTGAGTTTTTCAATTTCTATTGATGAACTTTTCATCAAGTGTTTTAGAAAATGGCAGGTATGTAAAATGAATCATAAAACAAAAATATATAGCTTTTTAAGAGAAGTCTTTTCTTTAGAATGATCGATGTCACGCGAATTCCCCATTTAGATAAAAGTGTGTAAATACATAAATATATTTCATCAAAGCTAAAAACGTTTGATACTCTTTTTCGAGAAACGATTTTATCTACTTGAAAATGACGCTAAATATTTCAGAAAAAAAAAGCAATCTGATATTTGATTTTTCGTTTACAATGAGACATCATTTAGATATCTCGAATTCACAGAATATATCTCTCTGCAATAAAAGCTAAAGAAAGGTGAATATTTAAAAAGGAAAGACAATTAAATAAAAATAGGAACAAAGGACACAACAATGAAGCTGCTAAACGATGTACACCATAAACAATAAAAATATGTAAGATTATCGAAATCCAAAATAAATTTATCTACAATTTTCTTTTTCCTGGATCAAATGACATCTGGATTTTGAGCGATAGTAGGAGTGCAATCCAGCACCTTTCGGATTGGCATGGGGTGGGTGACAGTAATGGAGTTTTAATTTTAAACAAGCTGAAGAACCTTTCTTTCTCCCATAATATACACTTGCAATGAATCCCATCTCATGTCGATGTTGAGGGTAATGAGATTGCAGACTCCTTGGCTAAGAGCGGAACTGATCTGCCCTTGCATTCTTCGGCATCTCTGACTTTCTCGGAGCTCCACTCCCGTTTTAACAGGCTTCGTGATCCTGTGGCCCCTCCTGTTCATCATTGGTATCAGTGCAACCGCCCAGGTGGCAGCCTGACCCTTCAGTGCAGTAGGCGGGATCAGACGGTTATATCAAGATTTCGAAGCGGTCACCTAAGAACTATGTTGTTCAGTAATGGTTCAAGAGTTTTCCCTGTTTGCACTAAGTGTAACGACCAACAAGCTACTCCTGAACATATACTTCAATGCCTAAATATCTCTAAAGTGGACCTCTTTTCAGATCCACTTTTTGTTACAGACTTACTCAGAGTCTCTGGAGTCATGGACTTGGTTTAGCTCCGCTAACCGTGTGGGTCAGCAACAACATCTACAATTAATTTGAGCCTGAATCTAAAAATAACTTGAAAACTGCTATAGCTAAAATCCAAATAACCGAAAGCTTTAAAAATTCTTTCCTAACGAAACTTAGAAAAAGTCAATTTGAAAACTATTTTTGCCATCAATTCCTATCACGTTTTAAGCACATCGAAAAATATTTGTAGACGATTATAAAGTTTGTCAGTACGAAGATAATTTCACTCAAAATAAATTTTGTTTTACTATTTATTATTATTTTTTTTTATAACAGTCGAAAATACTTTAATTTGTAAGTTACACTAGCTTTAAATTGTTTTGAAACAAGTCATTTTAAATGACAAAAAGCCAAACTTGAATGAAATCGGTCGAATAATCTGTGAGAATTTGAATTTTAAATGTGTAAATTTTAAAATTGGATAGCTAAATCACTAAGAAGTCTAAAGTAATTCGAGTGAAAATTTTATCGAATAATTCAAATAATATTTTTAACTGCCAAATTTTAATGTTCCTTTTTTAGTTTGATAAGACATATAGCAAGTAGATACTATAGTATTTCTTAAAATATTATTAATGTTGTGTTCATTACAGCGTATTGTGATGGTTATAAATCATTTTTTTTTGTTTTATTAGATGTCTAGCATGTAGAATAATTATATTATCATTATTTTTTGTTTATTGTAGCGTATTGTGATGGTTATAAATCCCTCCATCAAGCTTGTTCTACCATCAACGCGGATGCCCCTCTCTATTCGCTTTTTCGAAGTAAGTTGATATTCATATTTTATTCTTTGTTTGAGTGATTTATGTTGAAAAAAAACAATTTCTACATTCGAGCAATCAAAGCGCTTTATTTTAATCACGCAAAACTTTTATTTTAAATATTATGGAATGGTTATCGGTTTCATGTTATTTTACTTGACTTTATGGTAATTATTAATCATTCATACATTATTAAGTTGGTCAGAATTGCGTTGGCAATAATGTAACTGGCCACATTACATCAGATAAACTAGTAGTTTTAGTTCCAAATTTGATGAGATTATGCTTGAAAATACCGCATCAAATTTGGTGCGGTTATTTGATCAACACTGAAACGTAAGATGTTGAGATCTTATATTTCAGTTTGGAAAAGATTGAGGCACTCACAATAATTGAAAACTGAAACGAGAAAACGTCATACCAAAAAGTAATATAATTTTTTAAATAATTTTTTGAAGTGAATGTGAAATAAAAGCACCATAATACTGTTATTTTCAGATGCGTTGTTTTACACATGGGTGTTAATTTAGGATGAAATTTCTTGCAAGTAAAATTTGTATTGACGATTATTTTTCGAAATAATATATATTCTTAGCTGAATTCTTTCAACAAAGTTGATTATCAAAATATTATATTTCAATGGTTCTTGTGTTTATTTTTACTATTAGATGTTAACATAACTTCATATAAGGAAATTGATGGATTACTATTTTATTAATTAATGCATTTCTTAACAGTACAGCATCTTCATACAGTTGAAATGCACCATACCATAAAAATCATTATTAATAGTATACATTAGTAATATACTGGTACTTATATCATGAAACATATCAGTTAATTCACTGAGTGCATGTGATAGAATGCGCCATTTCATATTGGGAAATATGAAACCATGGCTTATACCATAAGGCATAAGACGAGGCAACACGTTTAAAGAAAGCATCCCTTTATGCATATGTTTTAATTATTGCCTTAAAACTCAAATGAATGATAAAAACTTACACAAAAGTTATTAATTAAAAAAAGCAACAAAAAAAGCAGCTCTATACGTCTTGAAAAGTGATTTGTGGAGAATAGTAAAAAACTTAGAATGATAAGGAATAATTAGTTTCGTTCGCTAATGATCGAGGAACGAGCGATTGGTGGCAGCTGGCATTCACGGAAGTTGGAAAAGATACAAAGTTGGCTACATGAGATTCCGTTCAATGCTTTCATACTTCACTTTTTATTATATCAGGAGTGCGTGTTGATGATGTTGATGCCATGAAAGACAAGATTCATTAGGATCATCGAAAATAGATTAGCCGTTAAAGATTATTTGATTGAATTGAAGCGATTTTGATTACTTTTTGTGGAAAGTATTTCTCTCCATTCATTTTAAAATTTTAACAATTGATTATGTTAGTGTGTTTATGAACGAAAGCAGATGATAGAAACACTTAGAAAATTGTTAAGTTGAACCAGATAATCATTTATACTCTAGGGGTTACTTTACAAACCATCTTACCTTCTTAACCGAAAGGAATTGAAACTTTTTTCCACAAGCAAGAAAGCTTGAATAAAACAATAAAACATTAAAACTAATAATTACTAACTAAAGATTATTCTATTGAATTCAAACAATTTTGATTTCTTTTTGGAGAAATTATTTGATTTTATTCACTTAAAAATTTTAATGATTTATTATGACAATGTGTTTATTAAAAAAGCCGATGATAAAAACACTTAGTAAGTTTTTAAGATGAGCACAACTATAAACATCACTTTATATTTTGAGTGGCTACTTTAAAAGTCCACCAGATCATCCTTTTTTTGTGCAGAAAAGAGCTATTGCTTCCATAGTGCTGAAGATAACGAGTTATTGTAATACTAACATTGTATAGGACCTTAATATTTGCGTGACGTCAAAACTAATTAAAGTTTTTAACCAAGTACATCTTCGTATGCTAATGGTATACCCTAATGATATTTTCAACAGGTTATTGAGTATTTCAATGATACAGGAATTGTACAGAATTAGTTTGAGAAACATGATGGAAGAATTACATTTTTAAAATGTCTTGCCCACTTTCTAGATCACAATCAAATTAAAAATTTGAGGGATGACATGAAAAGAGTCATCAGGCATCCATATCCGTGCCAAGAAAAGTATTACAATACAATGAACAACCTATCAACATTTTGTAAAGTCTACTGAGAGAATAAGCAAGCCTGTATTAACTGGAACTGTTGACAAATGAGATATTTAAGGGTGGTTAAAATTAAGTGTACGCATTCATACGTAGTTCTTCTACATTAAACAAGCTTACTTATTTACCTATCACCCAAACGTTACTATCTTCTTTGTTCAGATTTATTTATCGCCTTTTTCCTAATAAGAAATTTAAGCTCAACTTATCTATATTCTCAGGGCATTTATTTTCAACCAGAATTCATCTAAATTTAAAACTTGGTGTATTGAATATTTCAAATATAGTGTACTAAAAAATAATAATAGCAAACGGACCACCTTAAATAACTTTTGATCTAATTATCGGATCTAAAAGGGCCCAATCCTACTGGTTTGAGGGAATGATCTCAAATATTCTAAATGATAAGTGTAGACGACATTTCAAGTTACGAAATAAGTTGAAAATCGTACTCTCTCTGAATAAACATATCTTTTTTTTCGTCGCATTCAGATTTCTGACTCTCAAAATGTTGACCTGTAGCCTCAGTCTGGGAAATATGGTCCGAATAGTTTGGTCAGGAGAATGGTCTGAAGTTTGAACCCCTTACTGTTAATTTTACTTTTTGCGCTTTTCAACACTTCTAGAAAACATTTTAATTGAATTTATAAATTTTTGCATATAATTATAAAAGTCATTTATCCAAAGATAATTCCACGAAATACATGAACTTTCGTATATATTTACTATTTTTTATGATAGTCGAAAAACGTTTAAATTGGCCAGAGCTGTCCGTTTATTTTCTTGCTCTCTGTACATGCCTGTATAAATCCATGCTTCAATTCTTTTGATCTATAGCTTTATCCTAGTTAAAAAAATTAAATATTATTTTGTATTTATCTTAATACACATATTTTAATTACATTTTAAAAGATTGTAAATTTTAAATTACTGAAAAGCAAAAGTATACTCCAATAAATGTTCCCAGAAATTAATAAACTTAATATACAAACTTAATATACAAACTTAATTATATAAATAAAGTTACTAACATTAATTTGTTTCTAATAGTGGATGCCAAACCTGTATCTTGCCAACTAAAGGGTCCTTATACATTTACCTACAGTAGAGGCCATGGTGAATGTCTTTATCCTATGTCAACAATTGACTCTTGTACAGACGATTCTCGTCTACTTTTCCGATTCCAAGCCTGCGCTGACGTCCTGGGAACAGAAAGTTCTGGTAAATTGATTCATTTTCTTAGTTTCGAGCAAATAAAAAGAAAAGCATTTACTTTCAGGATAATTAGTAGATATTAATTTTTTTTTCACAAAAAGAAATCTATGTCCGAAGAGCAATTTTGCGTGAATTAGATTTTTCGTTAACTAGGAAATATCTGCACAATAAATGATATTTGTCATTGTAACCAAGTTCTACTAATCAAGTAGTACTTGGTTAATAGAACTTGCTGCTTGTACAAGTAGTACTTTGTTAATAGTAGGTCAGAGGTAGCCCAGTGGTTGGAGGATTGGATTTTGGTCCGGAGGAGCCAGAGTTCAATCTTCGACTCCGAGGCCCACCGAGTACATGCAATATACGTGTTTGTAAAATCTGCATAAAATTTAACATCCTATGGTCAGTCGTTAAGCAGAACCGTGGGTACAAATTTCCTTCCCTTTTTTCTATGCCTAAACTGAAGAAGTGACCTCACAAAATTGTGATGGCTTGTTTTAGCTTATCTTATCTTAACTGAAAATCACCGTCGGGTTACCAAAGAGGGGTTACCACCCCCTCAGCAGAGGATCAAAATTGTGTGGACATGTTATCGGATCATCCTCAGGAATGTTTCCTATACCGTTGCGAATAGCCCAATGTGCAGCACTAGTGCAACGTAAGTAAAGTACCAGCCAAGTACTGTTATCTAATATTAATATTAAATTTGAACCAACAGTAGTGAACATCTTAATGGAATAAGAATAATATATGAGAAAATAATAGTAATATAGGGCATACTAAATATTTATTACGATATTTATATTGCAATTAAGATTTGGCATGCCCTTTGATTAAGGAAGCAGTTTTACTCGCTTTTGCATAAATGCTAAGAGACTTTTACACCTTGTGGCAAATTCTTTTGTTCCTATACCATGTACTTAAATCAATGATTTATAGAGGTTATTTTTTTATTGTAATCGATTTTGTCAGTTTTTGCTTGCAGACCCATAAATCTATTATAGAAATATGGCAGTCACTTTTTTGATAAAGAATTCCAATATTTTATTAGAATTATACGAAGGAGCAAAATACTTATTGAGAAATTCCATTTTTGGAAGAAAAGCTTAACTTTGGCCTCATTTTTTGTCAATTTCTCGTACTTAGCACTGTTTACCATTACCTTAATCTAAATGAAAGGTACATCTTCCTGGTATGAGAAACTCTCGCAAAATATTTTATTTTAATGCAGATTGAAATTTAAAAAAACAAATTTTTGGTTAAAAAAATGCGCTTGCTTCTATACTATACTGTATTCTTTATTACTGTATTATACCTTATTCACTATATAATTATTATAATTCTATTTTTTTGTTGTTCATCCACGGTTTTAAAATTTTAAGCTAAAGCGAGTGAAGTTCTTTTATACTTAATGCATTTATATATTTTTTTTACCTTACCTTACTTTATTACTTTTACTTAATATACTTTAACTATAGTTTAATTCATTCATGTTCTTAAATATCTTTCCAGAACTTAAATGAGGATGGTGATATAATAGTGATTAATAGTAAATATGCATGCATTTTTGTAAAAAAATACATGCTTATCGAAATGATTTTTATACGTTTAATGAAACTCGTAAATTTTAATGCTTTTTTAAAGAAATACTTAAAGTATAACATAACTCATCTTTATCTAGCTAAAAGTAAGTAAACTTCCACGCGAAAGCTGACTGTTTAATAAATCAAAGCTGCTTTTTTCCATGAGGGTTTTTAAATTCTCTCTTCTTTTGATTTTTAATTAACATATAGTATACTAATTAGCTGTCTACCACATATGTTTTAGTTAGTTAATTATATTAATTTATAACATTTCATTAATTACATTATTTACACAGTTATCTACATTTATTGTAATTTAATCTATATTAGTATAAATGTTATAAACATTAATATGTCTAGACAAGACATCAAACTGAAAAAAATTTAAAAAAGAAACGTATTGCGCTCCATTGTACTGTTCTATAAAATTCGAAAGAAGTACTCATTTGGCTCTATAAACTGATTTAAAAATAAATGTTAAGTAAAATATGTGCAAATATTATTAAAATTTCAAGTAGGCAAATAACTTAATCGTCTTTATGCATATTTTTTAAAAAAAAATTCAAGCAGAAATACTTTTTTAATTTATTCAAATTATGCATTTCCCTCTTGAAATACAGTGAAAAAATTTTATGAAATTAATTTACTTCTTAAATATTTTGACGTGTTTAAAGAAAATGCGGTTGAGCAGTATTTGATTGCATAAGAAATTTTTTCAATGCGCATATAATTTCCTCAAAAACTTCATCGCATTTAAATATATTTACAGTGAAAAACTGTTTTTTACCATATTAGCTTTTCAAATTCTAAAACCTATACATTTAAAAATATAAGAGGAATTAATTTACTGTTCAAGAGTTTTTTTTTTATTCTTGCAATTTTAACTAGATGTTTTTTTGTTCACTTCTGTTTCTTTATCAAGAACATACTTTTTGTTTTAATTAAACCTTGTGTAAATTTCAAATAATATTTTATATTAAAATAAATGAAAGGAAAGCGCGGAAGAAATAATACGTTTCATTAATTTTTGAACTTTCTGGGGAGAAACATGAACAGTTCTAATAAAATTAATCAGCAGGAGCTTTGAATAAAAGGTGATTGCAAAATTTTAGACGGATCAGTCTAATTATTTTTACAGAATTTAATTTTGAAAAAATATTTTTTAATCTCATTTTAACTTCACGAGCTATAAAAAAATTTACTCATTGAATTTTTTTTTGAATTAAGCAGGTTACTTTTATAACTGCTGAATTTTCGTCAATTTATAACATGTTTAAAATCATATGCTGAAAAAAATCGAAATGAAATGTAAAATTTAATTCTGTTGAAGTATCTAACAAATTTGTTTGTGCATTTTATACACAATTTCCCTTGCTTATATTTCTCTGTTTTCAACATAATTTATTTTCATACATTTAAGAAGAAAAAAAATGCTCCTAAATTACTAAAATAAATAATTTATTAAGGATAATATTATTGATATATGTTATTCTATTACATTATTTCTATTAGGGCCAATTTTCTTTTTAAATGCCAGTTCATTCATTTGTGAGTAGTTTTCGCAAGGTTTTTTTTCGTGTATTATTCGAACCTCTATTCGACAAAACATTCATGAAACTAAATTAATTCATCTGTAAACAAGTAACTGCTATTATTGAAAAAAAAAACATTTACAATACTTAGTAATAAATGAAAAAAGTTTTATATTATTTGCCAATAAAATGTAATGCTTTTTATTGAATCCTTTATCACGGCTTACAACACATTCCTGCGTAAGTGATTTTTTATAAAATCAGTAACTCTACAATTCTCCATAAGAAAGCGAGAAAATTTTTTTACGGATTTTTGAACTGGTTAAGTATTGCTGATTTACTGATGAATATATTAATATTTATTTATTAGCTGTTAACCCTAATAAAACATTGTACACATTTTTAAAACCACCAAAATTGACTTTCTGGATATTGTTCATTTCATATTCACTACATTAGAATTAGCACAAAATTGTAGAAATGTTTAATTATTTGTTAGCTTGTCTGTTTAGTATATATAGTAATGATTGATTTTCATTTTAGTTGAAGAACTTAGCTGCCTTGCTGTATGGAAAGAAGGCTCTGCGCATTATTTAGTGGGGAAAATGTCAAATGAAAAACATTTAAATCTACCTTTCACTGATGATAATACATACAGATGTTTTGTAAGTTTTTTATTTTTTATTTTTTTGACATTTATACATTTTTCTTACTGATATTATTCATATTTAATCAAGTGCTAAAAAAATATTTATTTTTTATGCATTAAGTCAAATTATTTAAGCATAAAGCTATTTTATTACGTTCGAATTATGTATGTACATATTATGAAAAATAACATCAAACAACTTTCTAGGCTTTGATTGATACATGCATAGTCAAAAATTTCAATAATATAATTTCATTATTAAGTTACGATTTTTTAAACTTAACCAAAGTTTTGAATAATGAATTTCTATTATTATGCTTCTATTGTTTTTTACTCATTAAAATTTCTAATAATTATAATTAAATTATTAAGAGTAATATTTATAGTATTATATATAGTTTAGGTGAATGCTACTGATGACTGTATTGATGGTTTATTGTTGTGATACAACAATAAACAACNATTATATTATATTATATTATATTATATTATATTATATTATATTATATTATATTATATTATATTATATTATATTATATTATATTATATTATATTATATTATATTATATTATATTATATTATATTATATTATATTATATTATATTATATTATATTATATTATATTATATTATATTATATTATATTATATTATATTATATTATATTATATTATATTATATTATATTATATTATATTATATTATATTATATTATATTATATTATATTATATTGTTTTATTTAGGTTTTTGATTATTTGCCAGAGAAAGGAATTCAAATGTCTCAATCTGCAGACGCTACCTGTGATGGTTTAGTTTCGCCATGGGAAGGATCTCGTACACTTAGATTACTCAGAAGTAATAAATACATATTTGTTTGAATTTCATCATTCATAAAACTGCACTTAAGGAGATAAAAAAATATTTCAAGTTAAATTTAAGAAAAATGTAACTTAAATTATAAAATTATATTTCCCGTTATTTATATTTTGAGATTAGCAAAAACAAATATTACATTAGTTTAAAATAGTTCAAAATTTCTGATAGAATATTCATTGTAGCAATTTCAAAATATTTACATAAGAAATCGATCTTATTATCTACATCGTTCATTTAAAAAAAAATATTTTAAATTATACGTTTGCTAGCTGAATGCGTATTCTTCGAAGGGATTGAAAAAAGAAGTAAGTAATAAATAAATTAGAACTGAACTACACTACAAAATCATGAATACAACTGAAAAATCTGCACCAATACAGTTATTAAAGCGAAAATAATTAAAATTTCATTTTTATTATCTCTTTCCTCTTGGTTTCTTTTATCCGAATCGGAAAAAAGCGTGTTTAGTTGGTCATTTTATCCAGACCAGCGGGTGACCGAGCTCCGNTTTATCCGAATCGGAAAAAAGCGTGTTTAGTTGGTCATTTTATCCAGATAAAGAGTAGTTGTTTTCAGTATCATTTGACCTGACACTTTTGCTCGTGTCTAATTCATGAGAGTAAAATTTACCACAATCAAACAATGTTCTTCATTTAATTGGTACTTTCTTTCTAAGAATAAAATACTTTCTTTTGAAGAGTCCAGTAAATTTTGTATAATTTGATAATAAAATAGAACGGAACTCATATGCAGTTGCGAATGGTTACTTAAATCCTACAACGGAATGATCTTTTCTTAACTACGAAGTATAATTTACATACTTCGATTATTTCTATCATTTATGATATACTTATTTTGATTGCTCTAAAGTTTATTTTTTCTAATTTTTGATATTCTGCCCATAATATTAAATTAATTTTTAATATTGTTTGAAAACATTTCAGGCAAACATCCAACAGCCAGTTGTCAATTTCCATCATGGGTTGCTTCCTCTCATAAATGGCACACATTAGACGGGAAGAAAATCTATACATTCAGCCATAAAAATACATCATTCAAGCTATCACGACTGCACGATCATACAGATACAAAATTTTTATGTATTGATGAAGTTTCTTCAACGCCAAATACTAGCACATTCATCACGTACAGCATGTCTGGATGGTGAGTATGCCAATTATCTTTCTATAGAATTTGTTTCTCCACTAGTAATCTTTCTTGAAGCACTTGGGGTAATATACTGAATGATAAGAGCCATGCTGGCTTAGGGGACAGAGCAGATGCCTCTGAGGTGACCGGGATCAATTCCCAGTGATGGCTTGTCGAAGGGAATTCCGCACCCGACTCGCATCGACCATACTGCTGACGTAAAATATCCTCAGTGGTAGACGGATCAGGGGTTAGAGTCCTCTAGGTGTCAGGCTAACCGTGGGAGGTTCTGTGATATTTCTATTTATGTAATGCAAATGCGGGTTCGTTCCATCAAGAAGTCTTCCACCAAGGCGAATTTCACCAAAGATTTGACCCAGGAGCTCCCTCGTCTTCCGGGTTGGATTCAAAATTACAATGCTGCAGAGTTGAACATTGGTAGTCGTAAACTTAGAATCAAATTGGTTGATTAACGACGGTTATAAAATAATATGAAATATAATCATAAACCACATTTCTCAAAAATTCACACGGAGAAAAGAAGATTCTGATAAAATCGCCGTTCTGTATGTTAATGACAGTTTTGGTTCAAAGAAACTATGATTCTGGTCAATAAAACCTAATTATACAGAATTTAAACCGTTCATTTTATAATTTTTAATTTGCCAGTAAATCAGGTTTGCAAATTATAGTTCTTATTACCACACAGAAAGTCAAAAAAATACAAAAAGGAATTTAACCGAATAAATGGTTTTTATGCCATTCTCTAAAGTACAAGATAACATTTCTAAATTTTTACCACATTTACCAAATATTATCACATATTATAAAACCTTATATTATTGCTAATTTTACCACAATCATTACTATAGCTCCTTAATAAAAATTACCGATCCCTTTGGTGTTCGCATAGAGCCAGAAACACTGTAAATTTTACATTTTTCGGGCAGTACCGACTACTGTTTTATTCTCAGTGCAGGAAACTGTTAAAAAAGAAAATAAAACGCGTAAATTCTACGAATTCCAGGTGGGTGATGAGATGTTTCTATCTATTGAGCTTCCATTTAGTGGAAATTTTAGAAACGTACTGATTTCACCTTTGGAAAAAGTGTGGTTTTTCAGTATATTGCCCCAAACCCATTATTTCTATAAATTAAATTTGTTTTTCCTTCTTTTCCAGTAAAAATGGTTATGTTTGCATGAAGTTTTATCACAGGCATAGACATATAATAGAAATTCAATTTGGTAAGTCACAATTTCTTTCTCTAATTTGAAATTAATTTTATTTATAAATTGGTGACAGTTAAAACATTACTTAAATTTAATCTATCATATTTTTTTGCATGAAGTTGAATTAAAAAATCCTGATTTTACTCCGTAATTGAAGGGGATTTAAAAGTACAGTTCACACACAAAAAGGAACTGATTACCTTTCCTGAATAACGTTTCCTCTGTTGTCATCGGATCTAATTAATTAACTGATGCTAATTAATTAACTGTTCTAATTAATTAACTGATGCTTTAAGTTATGAAATCAGATACAAAAACGTACCTTCTCTTAATAAACATACTTTTTTTTTAACAGATTTGATTTTCTCTACCCAAAATAGGGGAGATAGACGCAATCTGAGAAATATGGTCCTAATAGTTTAGTAAGGAAAACTTTGAACCCCTTGATGTTAATTTAACTTTTTGCACAGTTAACCATGTCTCGAGAACTTTTTAAACAAATTTACAAATGTTTGCACAGAATTGGAGAATTTGTTTATACCAAAAACATCCACAGACAAAAAATAACTTACACATCCACAGACAAATAATAAAAATGATAAATAGTAAATATTTATTATTTTTATTATTTTATTTAATAATAACTAAAAAAATTTGAATTCTAAGGAATACAATTTCTTACACCATTTTAAAGAAAGAAATTTTGCATGACAAAAGATCAGATTTGAGCGAAATTGATCGAATAGTTCCAAAATAATAGAGCGGTAATTTTAAAATTCAGTATATTAATTGAGAGAAATTACGTTTTGTGTCAGATTTCGTAACGTAAAAATATCGCTTGAGCTAACTAGCTAGCATATCTGATGTCATCCCCTCGAACTATTAAGATTGAGTCCCAGAAAGCCAAGATCCGATCATTAAATCAAAAGTTATTCAGGGTGTTCCGTTTCTTTCCTTTATTTTTTTACTTATTTTAATTCTTTACTTATTTTAATTCTTTACTTATTTATTTATTTTGTTTTCGCACACTTTAGTTTTTTATCCTATATTAAATGGACCAACTTTGATGCTACCGAACTTAGGAAAGTGTCTACAAAATAGCAAACTGCTTTCTTGTCAAAAAGCTGATAAACAACAACTAACAACAAATTTGTAAAAAAAACATCAGAATTACAAAAATAGTAGGAACTATTTTTTTGAAAGCAGATTCAATGCTTATGAATACATTAAAACTAATTATTGCAACTTAAGCTTAGGTAGAAGATTTAACTCATTCAAATATCTTCTATTTTGCTTTTCTTCGACAAAAAATTTATAAAATTTCCACTTTCTTCTTAGGAACTTTTTGATAATTTCTGACTACATCATTTTAATTTTTAAACATATTTCCTCAACTTTAAACATTAACATAACTACTTTACCTTGTTTCTTATTCAAGTCATTAAAGCCATATCTCCTCCTTAATGCTAATCCATAAAAGGAACTGTTTATCATTACCAAAGTATAAAAAAAAAATTTAATGGAAACATGCTGCAAAATCTAATACCTCTTAACCGAAACCCAATATTTACATAAAGACACAAAAAGCAAATAGTGTCGATTTACATAATTAATGCAAAAAGGGTTAATGAATAAAGTTCTATTTACCAAAAATATTATCTACAGCTGTCCTAAATGTTTAACGTATTGATTTCCTTTATTTTTAAGAACACAAGCTTAAAAAAAAAAACCTTCTCCTTTTCAGAAGGGCAATATGCTTTATGTGTTTTAATTTCGTAACACTTCATGATTCGAGTTTGTCAATATATCTCCTTGAATGCGTCAATTGTTCCTAAGCCTTTTTATAACAGTTCATCTTACAAAGCTTAATAGATCATTATAACATCTCATGCGCTTCACTCAGTTAATGAAGCTTTGACGTGCATACAGTCAACGAGTAAGGTGTCTGACCTTGTCTCATCTCAACCATTATTCACCCTCCCTGTTGTCAACATGGTTGAGTTTAACAGCTATCATTGGGCGTCCTAAGCTCGCGAGTTAATTGACTGCCAGAAATATAATCGTACCTTAGCACGACTCTGTATTTTTGGAGACCGAATATCAGGTCTCTCCATAAATAATGCCTGTTATTATGTTATGATATACTGTCCTCAATGAAAATGTGATAAATATACCATTCAGTTGACATAATTTTATAAAGAAATTTATTATTAAAATGTTCACGTGTTCATGTTTCAAAATGACTGATTATTTTCTAGCACGTATTTGTTGTAATTAATTTCAAAAAATAAAATTTGCATATATTGTTTGAGGAATGTCTTCCCAAAGTCACGTGTATGATAGCTTTTAACGTCTTATTTGATAGGAAAAAATATAAGTAATTTCTTATTTAAGAATCTTAATCTTGCGACGATTAACACATACGACACTTTTTGCATGGCACTCTTTTGATCTCAAACTATTCTTTATATTACAAAATTAGTAATAAAAAAGATTATTTCCTCGATATGATGTATTAGTAATAATAAAGATTTCATTTCTTCTTATTCGTATACTTGAGTAAAAGTGTTAACTTTATATTGGGTTGAATGATTTTTCAAAAATAAATTTTATCTGTGAACGAAATTTGGCTAAAAGTTCAACTGTTTTTATAAAAATTCTTGTTTTCTATTCCTATATTTTAGAAAGTATGTGGGTGATTTCTTCAAAAAATTCTCATTCATATTTTCGATAACTCAAGCCGAGTAATGTCATAAAAGTAATACTATGTCATATAAGCAATCACTTTAAATGTGCTTTGCTTGTAAAACAGAAATATATTGGATGAGAAAGAATGCAAATCAAAAACATGTTCATGTTCAAACCATGAAACCTACTTCTAAGAATAAGTAGTTCATCCAATTCATCAATTGGATTTTCTCAAGTCGATGATCATTTTTTATCCTCGCAGTAAACATGTTCGTGATAAGCGTGGTGTACTCGTCCCCTTATAGGTAAAATAAGCAGCAAAAGTTTCAATCATTTTTAAGTTACCGTCACCAACTATCTTTAATCTGAACACCACAAGCTGCTTAACATTTTAAGAATCATTAGCAAGGAAGCTACGCACTTGCTATCAATCGGTGATTGAAATAATGCCTCTAATTTAAACAAATTATTTGATTTTGACAACACGTGTAGCTTTCGACACGATTTTCAACTATAACAATATAAATAACAAATAATAACAAATTAAGCATGTCACAATGAGATATATAACGAATAACAACTGAGATATGTCACAAAATGCTAGAGAATGCTTGAAATGTTTCCAAGGTTTCAAAAAATTATCCAATATGAACACCACAAGCAGCTTCCTAGACATTCCACGATTAATTAAAAAGTGCACTAAATGCCAAGCCGTTATTGAAGGATTGAAGTGTTGCTACAAAGTTTCAATAATATATATATATTTTGTTTTTACCATACCTTAATATGAAGGAAGATAACTTGGTTTTTGACTGATTCTCGGACATTTGGTTTAACATCACGCCCTATCTCGTCTTGAATTATGTCTCTTACCAAAAGCGTCGAAATAATTGTATCCATCTGATTATTCTGTACGTCGCTTTATGTATTTAATATTTAGGCTTAGTGTGTCAGTTTTCAACTTTTACTTAAAATCGACTTCCTTTTTCAGGTGACCTAGCAAGAAGTTCCCAAGAAGCTTGTCATTCAGCATTTACTGATACTTACAGTAATCAAGAATTCGTTACATTAGTTGGTAAGCGGTAAAACATTAGTTTGCTTTATATTTGTTTTCAACGGAAATATTGTTATATTTTCGCATTATATATATATATATATATATATATATATATATACATNTATATATAATAGGCACACTGTAAAGAGTAATTTTTATCTTAGGATAATTAATCTTTATTCAGAAATATCGTATTTATCGTAAAGGATGTGTCCTGATGATAAACTTTACATTTTCCCATTAAAAGTTTTTCGATTTTATTATTATTGTTTGTGCTTTTATATATAAATGTTTTAGTTCAAAAATTAACATTCGTAAATTATCTCACAGCCCCTTCAGCCACGTCTTCTGGGTGCCCACAGTTAGTTGAAACTAATGGCCTCCGAATACAGGTTGGAAAAGTAGTTACATCGTCTTTTCGACCAGAACTATGTCGAGATTCTGCTGCAAAAGTAGTTGGCTGCCGCTCTAGTGATTCTATAGAATTTCTAACTAGTTGCGCATCATTTTCAGATGTTCAAAGTAAGGAACATACTTTTTATCTTACTGTTTGCGCTTAACATTGTAGTAAAAAATTATATGATTTTTTACAATATTTATGATGCAGTGAATAAACCATAAAGTTTAATTTTCAAGCATAAGTTCAAGGGCAGGCATATGAGTACTTAAATCTAGAAGAAGAATTATAGCATATTATGTGTAATTTGAACATATTCAATTGTTAATCAAATAATTTTAATTTTATCATATAAATAAGATTACAGCACTGAAGAAGATTTTCTCAGTGGCTCTCTTTTGTTTTGCTTGTATGCCGTTTAATATTGTTATAGTTGATTAAATTTTCACAAAAAATAATATACGTATGATTGGTATAATCTAACCAAAGTATTATCTTTATACATCTAAAAAAAGTTACTGCACGATTCTTCGTTATCATTACGCTGTAAAAAATTCCGAATTGGAAAAATTCCGAACTCCCAACTTGACGGTACTTTATACCGTAATGTGATTTTGCTACCATAATTTTTAAAAAAAAAAACTTTCAGCTAAATATGAATATTTGAAATCTTGCAGAACTTCTATATGAAATCTTGCAAAAATGCTATATGAAATCTACAAAAATGCCACATGAAATCTTGCAAAAATGCTATATGAAATCTTGCAAACTCATTGGGAAGTATTTGAAAAAACATTTTAATGCGCTAATTAGTTTTAGAGTAAACTTATGTCAAAGTTAATTTTTTTCCACTTGCGTAACTCATTTAACTATTATTAGGGAAATTGCAGTTTTTAAGAGCTTCGTATTTTGTCTTAAAATGAGTAAAACGCGTTTTTTCTAAGTTATTAAATAGTTCACATTGATTACTTTTTAATTTATAGACGGCTGCTAGAAAAAAAAACTATTCACTGTAAAATTATAACATTTTATCCTCACTTACTCTGATGACTGAACACTTTTAAAAAATTTCAAATCAGTTTACTATTTGTTGAGACTGTGGTCGTGCTTCATATTAACTGTTATAATTTAAATGTATTGTTGCTCGAAATAACATGTTAGATAAAGAAATATTTTCGAACTTATTATTAAAATTTAGATGAGATTGTAATAAAGATGTCCCATAGCCCATCTTTTCCCAATGCCTACCCGATTGACACTCGTCACGCAAGTATTAGTAGAGAAGATTTGTGGGTCACTCTTTCAGGGGCACGATATTTGGTGGGACAACGTTGCTCCCACAGTAAGGACAGATAGTACTGAGAAAGAAAGAACATCCATGTCTTGTCCGAGATTCGAACTCAGGACCTTTCAGGAGTAATTTCAGCTCCCTGATTTCAATACAGTTCGATTGGCTGTTTCAACAATGTTTGAATTGTTGAATTTTTTACTTGTTGAGATTTGAAAGTAGTATTTTTTCTCAAAGATTTATACCCATTATAGTATCTTGATTTTTTGCCGCGCAATCGGTAATTCGTCGTAAAGCGCGTTGAACAGATGAAAAGAGCTGCCCAAACATTCTGCATACCAATTTCACAGATTATCACACTATAGTCACTAATATAATTAAAATAAACTATGAAAGACGTTAAAGTATAAAAGATAGAGTCTTAAAAACAAGACTAAGGACAAAAATGCAACCAAGACGAACATGCATCGCAAAATGATGCTTTTGTAGTTTTGGAGGTTAGTCAGAAAAAGCAGAAGTGATCTTATCTGATATTATGAAAGGCGGAGGACACCAGATCTTGCCAATCATAACTTTAACTGAGATTTTTTTTAACAATAGAAGTGTTTAGCTGTGGTTGCTCAGGTGATACAAAGTTCACCTCCCAATGAGGTTTCCGAAGTTCGAATCTAAACTTTGACTGGATGATACGAATTCTGCTCTCGGCTCTCATTGATCACTGTGCTGATGTAAAATATCCTCACTGGTAGATGAATCATGGGTTTAGAATCCTTTTGCAGTTTCCAGTGAATCATAGGAGGTTTTCGTGGTTCTCTTTTAAATGCAACGCAAAAGCGGGTTAGTTCCATCAAAAAGTTTCCCAATGTTTGATCCAGGAGTTTCCTTACCTTCTGGGTTGGGTTCAAAATTACAAAGCTAAGGAATTAAACACTGATAGTTTTAAGCTCAGAATTGGATCAGCTGTTCTACTTCTGTTATAAAATAAAATAAGAATATATATGTATCATACGAGATTTTTTTAAAAGTAATTTTAACTGCGAGTATTTCAGATACAACACTTTTAAATGAGAGTTTTTTAATCGCAACAATTTTAAATTAAAGTTAAGTTAAAAATTCCCATTTTCCCTCTGCTAAAATGTTACCAAATATTTGTTAGGAAAATGTGTTTAAAAATACTTCTTTTTAATTGAGCATTTTTAATTATTTTATTTCAGTTTCATTCTGTAAATCATTTATGCTTTCAACGTCACATTGTCTAAGATGTTTTCTATTACAGGCTTCCATTGCCATGGAGACTGGGAAGAAAATGGTCGAAGTTATTTAGTTACAGGTCTAAGAAACTCTAAAAACAAATACTGTTTTGTAAGTTCATTTAATTTACAAACTTATATGTTCTAAAAGTGTTATAGCCATTTAAAAAATGGTTCACCGAAGCTTTTAATTAGGAATTGATTTTCACATAAGAAATCTAACATTACATGCTTAAAAATAACACATATAGTTTATTGATAAAATAACATCAAATGAGTAAATAATAATTTTTGCCTATCTCTTTGAAAATAATTGATTGTAGATAAGGCAATTTATATCTTAATTTGTAGGAAAAATAAAAACTTTGTTGCATTGGCTAATATATTTTTAAAACTTATGAAAAATATCCTTAAAACACTTTTGTGATGTTTTAAAATTTCGTTTTAATTTCTTTGCAGTTTCATACAACAAATTATCTTTTTATACCTTATTCTTGCCATTAGTTACCTCCTTCACACTTTCATTAATATTTGGTACTAATTATCGTATTGTTTTTAGGTGTATTGGAGCAATGATAAGACTACACATTTGACAGGAATACATGACACATGCAGACGAACGATTGAGCCAGGAATTACTGGAAATTTTACCTTTAACATTTCATCTGCAGGTGAATTGCATTATCTTTAGTTTCAAGCGTTCAATTTTATTAAATATAACTTAATTTCTATTCTAAATTCTAAAAAGAATTTTACTTTTAGGTTGCTTTTAACTTATAGCAATTAGCATAATATTAGTAAAATAAAAATGATAGCTTTAAAATCTCTAACAGTAAAACTAAACGAAACAAATTTTCTTAAGTTGTTCAATTGATATATTATAAAAAAATAACTTAAATAGTTAACAAAAATAAATCAATAAAATACAATAAATATCAGAACTGCTTTTATGTAGTACTAATGAAAAAACCCATATGCTGTCATATTGGCTAGTGTGCCTTGATCTTAGGAAATTTTATGGTAATAGAAAAATTGTTATTTCCTTTAAAAAAATCTGCGGCTGTTTTAAGGTTTCATAGTAAAATGTTGAAGTCTAAAACATTGCCAAAAAGAATAGATTAAGGAATAGATGAAAATCTGCAGCTATCATAGTGATTTAGCTTCATAATGATGAAATATCTGACTCGAAACTACGTCGTCGCTATAATGTTGAAATATTTCATTTTCAAGGACATCTTGGATGCTCACTAACGGACATGAGGAATCAGGTTCACTACCACAGAACTATAGAAATTTTAAAAGAAGTAGTGCGTTGGTATTGCTTTCTAAATCTTTATGATTCCAAAAAATTATGATCTTCAATCAGTACAAACAACCATAGTTTGATATGATTTCTGTCCCAAATTTTATGCTCGAAAAATAAGAGGAAGTTTTCTTGGCTTGAAATTTATTTAAATATCCTTAGAGCTACAATTAAACACGCTTTAGCAAGTTTTTTGAAAAATAACTTTGACAATATTTCTTTATTATATTGCATATCTTTACATATCAATTAGAATAAAATAATTCTTAATTATATTACTAATTGTATTTGTTTATTCCAGGTTTATGTGACAGTTTGCTTCATAATAGTTCTACGATAAGATCGTGTCGTTTGTTATCTTTGATAGAGAATTTGGTGTTTCTTTGTTTGCTTTACAAATTATTTTTACGGTGACAATGTCAAATGAAATTCTGAAAAGAGTATTCTAGAAGAAAGAGTGGGAAGTTCCGAGCAAGTCATTTCAGTGCCTAGTCAAATGTTTAAGATAAAGGAACTTATTCACACATTGGAGACCAATGCTAGATTCAATCTTATGCTGCCAGCAAACACGAAGCATAAATTATTTCTAAGACTTTGAAGCATTGTTTTCATACTTTACGTGTTTATTTCTCCTGTCTATAGTACACTGTACGAAATTTTGATCCACGTTGAACCATAACATTGCGTAAATTAGTTAATGCCCTATCAAGGTGCCCTTTTGAACCATTTTATCATCGTGCAAATTAACTGTTTTGAATTTAAATGTTCAAAATGGTTAAAATTAGTATTATGGTATGAGTTATCCCAGAAAAATGAATCGAAAAATATACTTGATGAAAGAAAAACTTCATTAGCTTCGAAATTTCATTCCAATTCCTAAACTTTTGGATGCTGAAAAGTTCGTCTTTTATCAAGTTATGCACTGTTAGAATTTCCTTTCTAATGTCCATCCGATAAACTATGAAGTTTACGGTAAACAATATATTTTTCCTTTGCGGTTTTATAACCATTTACAACTGGCATGGTTTGAAACCCGTAAAAAAATTGAACTGTACCTAGTTTTTTTTCATTAGATAGGTTTAGTTGGTGCGATAAAATTCTGCTCGCTTTACCAAATTAGGTGAAAGCAGTTCATAAGCGGTTTTTCTCACAGTTAACAGTTTGATTGCCATCTTATTTATGCTTATTTGACTGTTTAGTATGGATATGGCAAAACAACAATTAAATAAAGTTTTACTTAACAATTTTTCCGAGAAAATTCTAACAGTGTAGTATGGCACAAACAGAACAAGAACATGGTTTAATTTTACTCCATTTAAAGGTTGTAGAAAAATTGCACGATAAAAAGGGTTCAAAGTAATGATATTATGATTCAACGTCCAAGCGTTGCAATGAAAGTATACACTAACCTGTATTATTTTCCAATACGTTTGTATGATTGAAATCTTTTTCTAGTCATAGTGCTGTTTAATTGCCAGTGCCCTATACTAGGCGCACAAGAAACAGACCTAGTCCAAACAAATTAAGGGCCCAAAATACATTTTTATATTATAGCATATAATTTTAAAAAAAATGAAATTTTAAGAAAGGTACTTAAGTACATTTTAATTGTTTAATTGCTCATTTGAAGCCTGCGCAACTCGTTGTAGCTTGTATTTACATATTTTCCTTATTCCCCTAAATATTTTTTTCAGTAAAAACTTTAAAAGAACATAATATGAACAATGAGAAGCATTGCTGTTTTTAATTTTCTTTCCTTATTATGAATATAAGCTGCGTTGAGTGATTATGTTGACAAATATTATATAGGAGGATTAAGCGAAATTTACAACAAAAAAAATTTCATTTTTTTAATACTTTTGTGATTTAACTATTTTTAAATTAAAAAAAAATCATTTAATTAGAAATATTTTTTTTAGATTTGGAAATAGATTTGACTTTAAGAGAAATTGTACTTAATACTTTCTATTCAAATTTAAACAAAAAAGCATGTTTAAGACAATATTCGGTTGTCAAACCGTGATTTTCTTTCGCAAGTTAACACGTTTCCCATCATTTTTATTGACTGAGATCGTTTAATTTTGCTAAGGGATGCGTTTTTTTCCATCAAATACTGATAAACTAAATCATAATCGTTTAATATAGCTTGTAAATTTTTATAAAATTTACAAATTTAAACAAAAAAGCACTTAAGGAAACATATTGTTTTAGTATAATAAAAACGTTTATATATTTACAATCTTAATTAAAATTTCTTTCTTATGAAACTCAATAATGAAGAATAAAAACAAAAATATCATAAGTCAAACATGATAAATATATACCTTTAGAGATTTTATTAAGAAATACGAGTACTTGTTCGGTTTATAAAACGAAGAAAAAAGCATTTTTCTCCTATAATAACTTAAAACATCACTTAAATTTAATGAAAATATCATAGTTTTAATAGAAACATGTCAGACAAGATTGCTTTCAATCAAATGTCAAGTTCTATATTCACAATTCCTATTAGGTTTGATACATCATACAACTACCTGCAACAAATATTTTTGAGGGCATGTTGAAACCAAAACAAAAACTTTCACATTTACAATTATTTTTTATGAAGCATAAAAATATCACACAAATTAGGCATGGTATTTTCATCAATTAAGTAAAAAGACTTTTTAAGACATTGTAAATTAGATAGTGATTCGAAAGTTAAAGATACTTAATTTTTAACAGTTAACATAATTTTGTTTTATTTAGAGTTATAGAATACATTACTTTCAATTTCTTTTAATAAAATGATAATCAAGTAAAGAAAGAAACTTTCTAAACATGTTTTGTGGTTGTTGATGCTGAAGTTATTTTTCTAAATCTGATAAAATCAGAATCGTTCTTATGATGAGCCCTTTAGTTACTCGTTTTAGCGAATAATTTCATTAAACAAGAAAACTTTTAAAAAATTATAATGATTAAATAAATAGAATTTTTTTGTGAAAGCGTAGTCATTTAACATTCCGTTTACAAAATACATTTGCATATTTACTATTATTAATTTATGTCATATCGAGGCAGCCGTGTAAATATAAATATATATGGAACTAACACCAACAAATAACACTGTGATGATGTCCAAAATGTGTCAAAAATGATAATTTTGGATTACAGATTATTGTGTCATCAAATTTGATAGAATTCCATGTTTTATCACCAGATTTGTACATTATCTGTTGTAAAATAAGAGTTAACTGTCTATTAGATTATGAAAACAAAAATATCTTCCGTATATTACGGAGGTTGAAAGATTTATATGTATAATATTATACTTAAAATACATCTGTATATATTGATAATGCTATAAATATATTTTGTGGGAAATAATCCCATACCACTGAAGTAGTTTGTTTTATTTCTTTCATATATTACCCATAGACTCAGTCATTACTCCTATACTATGCATTTCCCATATTTCATTCATAATTTAATTTTGTCCCCCAAGATAACACGTGAAAATTGAGTTTATACCACTGTTAAAATTTTCATTCTAAAACTATGATAAAATAAATGGCTGAAACCTGTCCATTTAACTAACCGTAAAGTTTACGGTAAAGAACAATTTTTTCCTTTACGGTTTTGTAACCATATACACTAGTATTACACAAACCGTATATAACTATTATACAAACCTCAAGTATGGTTAAGAATCCTTAAATATATTTTTCTAATGGCAGGGGCTGAACTTTTACTTTCCTTGCGTAGGAAGATGCCAGTAGTATTACTCATTTTACGTTACCCAGTGGACACCTGTGAACCTAAGTCACGGAGGCGAGCAACATTACCCACGTCGCAATGACACAGAAACCAGTTTATGTCAGGGGGGCACATTCACACAGCACACTATAGAGAACAACACACAGAGAAACATCCATGCACTTAGCGGGATTCAAACCTGCAGCCATTGCTTTCACAGTCAGGCACGCTAACCGCTCGACCGTCTGTCCGGCATATAAAATATAATCATGAGAAACATTTCTCAAAAATTCACACAGAGAGAAAAAGATTTTGATTGCCACAGATACCCGTTTATAGAGTGGGCCACATTCACTCATCGCACAATAGAGAACAACACACGGAGAGAAACTTCCATATGCCCTGAGCGAGATTCGAAACCGCAGCCATAGGTTTCGCAGTCAGGCACGCTAACAGCTCGACAATCTGGCCGGCAAATCCTTAAATACAAAACTATACGGTTTTTTAACCATTTACAACAAGCGTAGTTTTAAAACTCTAAAAAAGATATTTAATAGCACATTAGAGATAGTTTAGAAGCATTATGGTGGTGAGAGTATCGTACCGTGAATGAGAGTATCGTACTCTCACAGCCCACGGTAACAAAATAGAGAGTGCAGGAGGAAACTCTTCTTGTGTTGATGAAAATATTGACGCGTCAACGCTGGGACTCTATCACATTGTTGACAGATTAACCCTTTCGGCTATAATATTTAGAGAGCTGTAGGAATTAAGTGGCTTCATTATGTGGATCTAATTGGTGAGATAAGACTTTGGTTGTTTATCAGTATTAGATAAAAGCAGTTAAAATACGATTTTTTCAAAGTTCGGTTTGAGTACCATCGTATTTATGGTGACTTGACTGCTTTCTTTCACTATGGCAGAATAAAAATTAAATAAATAGTTATTTAACCATTTTTTCAGCGAAATTTTTAACAGTGAAAAAGCTTGTTTAGCATTAGGTAAGCATATTTAACAATATTTTATTGCTAAGTATAGTTCAGTAACAATCAAAATAAAGAGGGTTTACTAGAAAAACTTGCATTTTTCATGTACAAAAAATATTTTGAAACTATTTAGTTTATTAAATTTTACACGCGTTATGGTGGAGTTATTAAATTTTTAGAACATTCATATTAAAAATATTAGTTTGTATTATAGATTAGAAATTTTTATTATCATTTAAACAAATTGAAATTCATTAGATTTGCTTTGTACAAAAGAGACACTTAAAATAAAATTGCATTTAATTCAATAAAATATAAAACACTAATATTTTACCATCTTCAAAAAAATTTTAATAAATTAATTTATTTAAAATAAATAATGCTTATATCATTAAAAAATTTAATATATTTGTCAATAAAAGGGCAAAAGGGGTAAAATTTTAAAAGAAATTCAGACACTTTTAGAATCATTACTTTTAAGTTTAAAACATAAGCTATTCCATTGTTTAATATTGAATTAAACTCAAAATACAAATTAAATACACAAGCTGCAAATTAATAATTAAATACATTTAATTAAGAAAATATAATCTTACTATTCAAACTAATAATTGATTTTAATATATTGCCGTACTTTTTATTCTTAGTTTTTTAAAAGTATTCATTTATTAATATTATTAAATACCTATTACCAGTATCCCATTTAAAAGAAAGCAGAAATACCAATTAAGCTATTTACACATACCTACTTCATAACGTTGAAAAAAATATATAAAAGAAAAACGATATTATCACTTGGAAAAGCCGCATTCACGGTTGGAAAAAAAATCGATCTCGAATAAAAGAAATTTAATTAAACTTTAAAAGCCGCTTATTATTAACGAAAGTTTGAACAATTATCGAATAGCTTATAAAAGAATTCGTTCTGATATGAAGAAAAAAAAACATTTTTACTTACAAAAATAAAATAACTGGTATTAATAAGTTCAAATTGCTTTGGCGGAAGAAATGTAATTAAAAGAGAAACTAATTATCCTTCGCCAAAAGAGAAAGATATCCATAATTATCGAAAGATTTAGTTTTCATGTATTATTTTACAACAATTGATATCGCGTGTTAGCAAATGAAATGCAATTTGCGTAAAATTATTCTGCCAAGATATTGTACTAATAAACTGCATAAATGTTCGGATGAGCCTTAGTTATTCAAACAAAGCACAAAATTATCGTTTTTTAAAAGAAGATTTTTTTTAAGCATTTGTGATACTTCTTTAGTATGATTAATTTCCGAAGCGATTTTGAAATATATTTTCAATATTCATTTAAGGATGTATTTAAAATTAAATATGCATTATTTCGTAATAACCAAATACCTTCGGAGACCAAGTTTTAAATTCTTGAGTCTAGATATTTTTTTTTTAGTTTATTTGTACTAAATCTAGATATTAATGAATTGAAACTTAAAAATTAAATCAAGTTGTAGAGAAATGGAAAAGGTTTAAAAGCGGTCAAAAATTGGCTTTATATTAAAAAAGCATAACTTTGTTTCAATAATTATTTATTTATTTTGCTTTACTGCTGTTGTAAATACTGAACTTAGGGCTGCAGCAACACATTACACATAATACTAATGTTTTAATAATATGTAGACGTTTGGCCAAGGCGATCAATACATTTGGCAAAAACGATGAAACATACAGCTATTTTTTACCAAAATAAAAAAATAATAATACCATAAATTAGTGAGTTGTATTATATCTCGAGTTTAGACTGTTCAGAATATTTAAACAAAACTTCACGTAAATCAACCAGGCAGATTTTAAAAGATCACATTTAGAAAAAAAAGGGACAAAACAATTTTGAGATACTAGGCTGAACGGACAAGCCGTAGTATGCTTTCCTATAGGTAAATAGATATTTAAATTATCATAACTTCCTCTTTAATTTAAATCGGGAAAAAATCAAACATTTCTGAAAAGAATAAAATCATTTTAAAAACTGTTACAATAAATTGAACAGTTTACTACACTCAGAAATTTGAAATTAAAATCCTCTCCATATTTCAACAAACTAGCATGAACTGACGAGTCGTATCATGCGTTCTTATAGGTAAATAGATATTTAAATTATCATAACTTCCTCTCTAATTTAGATCAGAAAAGAATCACACATTTCCGAAAGGAATAAAATCATTATAGAAAATGTTACAATAAATTGAAGAGTTTACTATACTCAGAATTTTGAAATTAAAATCCCCCCCCCCATATTTCGACAGACTAGCACGAACAGACGAGTCGTAGTATGCTAGTCGTACGAGTTGTAGCTTTCCTATAAGTATATAGTCCTTTAAATTATCATAACTTCTCCTCTAAATAATTCGGGAAAAAGTCAAACATTTCTGATTTATTCTTTTACTTTATGATTTTGGAGAAATTCACATGGAACACAGTCGGGAGCGTTAAGAAAAGTAGAGGGATTTTTCAGCTTTAGGAGACGGGAATGATCTAGAGGTAATTGTCATACCTGAACTGAAAACGATATAAAACGTTCATAATTTATAATTTTCGACTCTTTGTCAAAAATCAAATCAAAACTGTACTCTTCATTGATCTCAAATTTAGATTAAAGTTAAGAAAATCAAAGACCTTATCAAAATCTGACGAGTTTCTCTTGCAGAAGACATTTAATTGACTGTCTTAAAAACATCAAAATTCATTTTAACAGGGCAAGATGGCGACCGTAATAATTGCAATCAGATGAATCATTATAGAAAATGTATAATAAATTAAAGAGTTTTACTCACTCAAAAAACACTCAAGAAATTTACGATTGAAAACTCTATATTTCGACAAACTAGCATGAACAAACGAGCAGTAGTAGGCTTTTCTATAAGTAAATAGCCTTTTAAATTATCATAACTTCTGCTCTAATTTAAATCAAAGAAAAATCAAATATTTCTTATGAGAATAAAATCATTATAGGAAAATTTACAATAGATTGAAGAATTTAGTACACTTAGAAATTTAAAATCTAAATCTCCTCCATACAAACTGGTTTTGATTTTAATTTCATAGCAGGTTTTAAAAAAAAATCTGTTGTGAAAAATAAAGAAATAATAATAAAAGGAAAATAAAAGCAAAAATAGTAAAAAGAAGAAGAAAAAAAACGACATTCTGCATAGTAATTCAATTTTTTAAAGATTTTACTTAGCGCGCCTCTAAAATGAACCAGCACGTAAAATATTATGAGACTTTAAAATACTAAGAAAATAATTAAATTTTTAAAATTCAATGGAATTTTAAGGCTTTGAGAAGCTTTTATTCAACAAAAAACCAGCAAGAAAACTTATTCCCTTTAAATCTTATTTTAAAATAATGTGCTTAGCAAATATTTGCTCTTTATCCAAATTATTAAATATTTTTATGTAAATATGTAGAATTCTCTATTGTAATTTTGAATAATCCACATATTGTAAATTGTAATTATGGGCCGTCTAGAAAACCTCGAATCGCTTCGAAACAATTTCAGATTTTCTTAACTGATATGTAAAATTTATAAATTTGAAAAACAAATAGTTTTTCAATCCATTTTTTAAATTATTCATGTCTGCCTTTCTTTTCAAATGCATTTACGCTCTCTACATATTTGCAATAATTTAAATC